CCCCCCCCCAACCCCCCCCCCCCCCCCCCATGCATATCTGGCAGTTTACGAGTCCTGTGGTGGCTGCATTGTTTCTCTTTTTAAAAGCTTTTTTCTATTTTTAGTTTCACCTGATGATTCTGCCAGTATCACACTTTCTGTCCTAAGGTTATAACACTCACTCACTGTACATTATCTACAGAAGAGCAACATTGTCGCCCAAGGACAAGACTACAGAATACAGAGGAGGTATTTTGCAGTCCCCAGAGACAGCTGTGAACAATGCTAGCTGATAAGAGTGTCGCACAGACAGACAGTACAGGTAGATATCAGCTTACTAGATTTTTGGCAGGATCAACGGGCATTTTTTTCTCTTTTTTTTTTTAGGTAACGGAAATGCTTCCAATGGTATTTTTTTACCAGGTGAGCAAATAATATATGTTAATTGTTACGGTTTACATTTTGTTTTTTTAATTTACGTTAAACATTGATTTCCATAGGTTTTACAAGACCAAACAATATGCCACAGTAATCAACAAAGTTACTTCTTCCATGGGAAGAAGTACAATGCCATTAACAAATGACTGAAACAGAGATGGAATTAAATCATTTGTAGTTATCCAAAACTAGCGTGGGAGGTGCAGAAAAAAAAATTTCCATCTGATTTACCCAAACAAGGAAAACAGTTTTTTTTTTCATAGCGCTTTGGAAGCAAAATAAACACTGCGGGGAAAAAAAACATATTTACAAATCTGGTTTACTAGTGTTTAAAGATTTCAAGCTCTATAAAGTAGAGAGGGCAACGAGTGAAACAACTTATTTACACAATTATCTAAATACGATTAAACAGCTGATGGACAAATATTAAACTCGAAAATGTATAGTCCTTTCAGCTTAATGTAATCCTCTCTCTGTAAACACCCAAGATGATTTTTTTTTTTCCCAACCAGAACAGTCCTGACATCTCATAAGCCTAAGGGTGAATAGCAAGAGATTGTTTTCGATCGTTATAAATATTCAAGAGACAGGCAGACCATCTGCTTTCATAATACAGGTAAAAGGAAGGCTGAAATGGAGAACACTTTGCAAAATGGTTCTTTGCAAAGTCTTCCCTTCCAAAAAAATTTAAAGACAGATGTCAAAACTGTTTAAACAGTGTAATCTGGACATTAGAAAAAGCAATATTTCTCCCGTATCACAGACGTCGATACTTCACCCATCTGTGTGGCTACAAATTTCTACAACTTGTCCATTATAATTTATACCAGGAAATTATATGGCTCTGTAAAACCAAGACTTTACAACTCTGCAAGACAAGTCGTGACAGCTCAGGGCAATGCATCTAAAATATTGCCCACAGACAAAGTCATTATTAAAGTACATGTACAGTGTGCATGCAGACTGAGCAGTTTAATGGGACAGAATAGCACAGTTGTTGTTTGTACCTGCATAATTGTTGCTTTACCGCATCATGTGTGGCCACAAAATCACAAAAGTAAAACATGACTGGCCAATGGTGACACCGTGGCCATAATTGGTCATTGTTTAAAAGTCTAAACTTCACTCTGGTGGTTTCCCTTCTCTTTTTCAATAACTTCATAATGCCCCATGAAGACAATCAATAAGGCAGTTCTGGGAGAATGTGCAGATAGACAAATTAGTAAGGTCATTAAAAATAATTCCAGATTACTTTGACACTGATAACGTCACATAATGTCACCTGTAATCATATATACAAATGTATTGTAGAATCTGAAGCAAATAATTAGATTAGATTATTTAGGGTCTACATGGACTTACTAGGCTGTGTTTGCCCACAATAACCACAAAATGAACAGTGGTCAATTCATCTAAAAGGGGCTGCATGTTTCAGTACAAAGAGAACTGTACAAAATGCAATTTGTGCTCAGTGTTTTAGCAATCATTGACAGTGATAAATGTTGTCACCACAAAAATTAATTGGGTGCAGTTCACCATGTGGTCACTGTGGCACTAACGGTCACATGACAACAGAACATGTATGTCCTATCTCTTAATTTTAGTCCTTAATGGGCAATGCACAGGGAAAAACAGTGTGCCAAGAGTGAGCATGTACATAACGGTTACAGCTTATTATGTCACCTTTTCTTGTTACAATTCAATAATTCATATTTGTGGATTTAATCTTTATCTTAAAAGTAAAACTCCCAATATAAATCACATATTTTTCAGTTGTCTTTCATAACACCATGGTCGCCTGATGCAGCCACAAATAATTTCTGCTTTTTATACTACTTTTCCCTACTTTTGACAATATGAAAGGATTTATTTTACTGAGCAATACAAAAGGGTGCTTAGTATATTATATTAAAGTGAAGCTAAACTCAGGAGTTAAATCTTAAAAATGCTTTCAAGTACCTTAACTATTAACAAAAATGTAGCTTATTCGTGTATCCCCTGGCTGTAGATCCTCAAACCAGCTCTAAATTGGTGCTGACACTGTCCTTCCTTCTGTAGGGCAACTACTTTTGTTCCCCATGGTCCCTGTGTGTGTTGTGAGGTAGCCACCACTCCAAGCTCACTCCTGTGATAGACAACAATCTCAATGCAGACTAGTAAACTAAACATGGGATTGTTGTCTATCACAGCAGTGATTTTGGAGCGGTGGCTACTTTACAACACACACAGGGGCCATGGGGAACAAAAGTAGCCCCCCTCCAGAAGGAAGAACAGTGTAGGCACCAATTCAGACTATTTGAAGTCTACAGCAGAGTGATGCACAAATAAGCTGCATTTATGTTAATAGTTAGGGAACTTGAATGTATTTTTGGTTTAACTCCTGAATTTAGTGTCACTTTAAGTAGCCTACCCAGCCAAAACATATATTACAGTTGCGGGTGAACATGTGTTGAATCACCCTCTGAGTCATTTTATCATGCCAACCTCTACCTACAACTATATTACGTTTGGGTACACGGACCCTTTCATGTAAATATTACAAGGTACTGCTCAACTACTGTAGTATAATGCAAAAATGGGTTAGATATATGTAAAGCTGTGTATAGCAATGCAATCATTATGAAATCAGGACCATACACCCTGACTGCTGGAATTCCTTATCTGACAAAATAATCCTGAGAGGTCTGTTACAAATTGGATTTTGGTGTCCCTGGTCTAACTTTCGATGACATGTTAATTGCCACAGGTCTTACATTTGAACAGACAATGATGAATCAATTCCCTCAACTTATAAGGGACTTAGGCTGGCAAACTGAATAATGGGATTGACAGTTAGTATCTATGACTACTACTATAACTAACTGTGAGGTGTAGTAAGCTTACCATTGGCATAAAAACGTATTGTGAGCTCCAAAATCTTTTCCTATTCCGGTGGCAAAAACGAATAGTAACCCCTATGCATAATAATCTTTTGTTCACCACTTTACGATAGGTGACAGGTAAATATATTACATAATTTACCTTCTATCCACCTTACTGTTCCATTTCTAGCTCTAGGTAGGTGGCTATGTATCTACCCTGTAGGCTATACAGCCCATGTGTACAGTACAACACTGCAAGGCTAAATCCCAGGTGAAAACTGCTCTGTTCACTAAACTGAACCTAAACATACATTCACTCTGACAAACATAAATAACTACCAGCATTAATTATACTGCTGATGGAGAGGAGTAGACTATAATTGTAAAATACCAAAGTAAACATTATTTTAATGAATGTTATAAAATGAGGTCTAGCAAATAGAAGGGAACATTTTAACTGACTCATGAGCAAACTTTTTTTTCCTATGGCTACAACTAGGTAAAAAAAAAAAAACAGAACCTGTACATGATACTACAAATAATTGTATGAGCTAATATTCTATTATATAACAAAGGCTAGTGTATGCAAAATTACAAATTGGCATGGTTTCTTTTTAAAAGTTACACACTGCGATATTATAAAAAAAAAGACTACTGATACATAAATAGAAAGCCCATTTGGTGTTTGTAATTTCAAGACAAAACGCTGGAAAGTTTGAACGGAACTTATCTGCTGGTGTTGCAGCCCATAAGCAACCTTCGACTATTCCACTTGGATACTTGGATAGAAAGAACTGTAATTTTCCTTCCATTAAGCTTTCCATTTAAAAAGAAATCAGATACTAATGTATTGTCAAGTGAACATATAGATTACTATAGGAAGGCAATGGATTATACCACCCAGTTAAAACATCAAGCTATTCTGCTGCTTATATATTGTGCAAGAATGTGTGATGCTAAGCTGCTGGACAGTTATGAACCTAATAGCAAGCAATGTAATAATAGCACAAATGATACTCAGCAATGGCTTTTTAAAAAAAAAAAAAAAAAGAACATGTGTATTTATCACATTTGTGCTATTTAGCATCTGCTATTACAGTATTCTTTGTGCTGGATACAACTTAATATACTAGATTACCAGCATACGGTTAATTATTAAATCCTATAGCTGTTATCCAAATCTTTAATTCCTTGACTGATTTGCTAAGAAATATTTTTTTTTAAACCCTAAAAGTTTAATTTTACATATATGATGGAGACTACAAGCACAAAACCTAAAAAATGGAGCAGTTCCATTTTTGTATTAAAAAAATTAAAATATATGGAAATGAATCAGTTTCATAATCAAATGAAATACCATTAAAAAAAAATATTGATCGCTTGGATATAAATGTAAACGCAAGAGTGAAATTCTTTACCACTATGGGCCAACAGTGGAAACAAACATGGGTGACTATGTATGGAAAGCGAGGCATGGGTTTAAACCATTTAAAACAAAAACACAAAAATTACGGGCAGATTTCCTGGCTTAGACTCAAATTCATGGTCTGTAGGGCAAAATAGGCATTGTCATAGCTTCCTAAAATATGGGTGGACTGCTTTGCCACCTTTCCTTAAGTGAAGAGCACCTTGTATGCTCTTGAAAACAAATGTCTGAAAACGGTGAAATCCATTCCACAAAAGAAGGCTATTCAGCTAGTTAAATCATTTACCTAAAAATTATGATCAAAAGAGTGCTTTAATTATGAAAATATTAATGAAAGCATATTCAAAGACTAAATAAAGAGTCAAATCATTTGCATACCCCATTAGAAATCCAGTTCAATCCACCAGAGTAATAAAAAATAAAAATAATAGTCTCTCTCTCTTTCAATAAGAGTGGGAACAAATTCACTTTACCTGAAGATAATCAGGTAAGGAACATTCATACTATTCAAAAAAGGTTTCCGTTTTCATGATTTTACTTTGTTGTATTACTAGAAGGGGGGAAAAAATGGAACGAATCCTATCTGTTGGTTCCATGAGCGGCTGCAGCAAACGCCCACTGTTTTTTTGTTTTTTTTGCAGTAGCTACAAATGTGGCAGTTGTATAAAAGCTACATGGAATGGCTCGTAACCAGTGAATAGAATTTTGATTATTTTCAGGCCAGAAATCATTGAATGGGAGCCATAAGACTGGTGGAACAGAAACAAATATTGTGCGCAGCAGCAACCGGACAACAATTCAAATCACCTGCAACACATTTTTGTATTAATACACAAAGTTGCCAAAAGTGGAATGCCTATATATGTTAAGTGAATAGCAAATTGTGGCCAGTAGTTAAAAATTAAATATCAGAATAGTAATATAATATAAGCAAGAATAATTTATAAAATGCATGTGCTCTGAATAATAATAATATTAATGTGCCATAACTTTATCAAAATAGTGGAGAAGATGAAGATGTGTTGTGCTGTAACTGGTTTTAAAAAATATACTTGCAACTAATGCAAAGATATTGTGATAATACACAATTGCTATAAGATAGTAAATATACAAGAGCTACAGGGAAGACAGCGCGGATGAATAGAGTGTGAAGTATGTCGCTAAGCACTATCCATTTAACTGTAGATCACACTAGTGCTTAAATTAGCACAATTTTAAATTTGTTTCAAAACACTAGCATAGTAGGTAAGCCCCAGAACGAGACCTAAAATATCAAAGGCTTGCCCTTTAAATCTTACCATTATTCTTTAATGTAAGCAAGCAAATATAACTTTTTTTAAAAGACAATAAAACATCCTTTCAAGTGCGCAGTCAAAATATACAAAAAAGGGGGGGGAAAAAAGGAGATTAGGAAACTAAACAACTATTTCACTTGGCAAAACAGTCCTTATCGGGGCAAATTGAAGCCTGATCAAAATCAGCTCAAAGTCCTACCAGATCATAGTTAAAAAAACAACAGATTTCAATGGTCTGATTGTATTACTAGAATATTTTAATTAGATTATATGACAGGATTCTAATTGTGTTGCTTGTAATTATTCTGAGTCCCATGAGGAATCTTTTTCTCACCTTTTTTTTAAGGCTGCATGCATAATTCATTGTTTGGGTGTAGGCTTTTGTACAAGATATTTTCCTACTATTGTGGACAACGTGAAAACCTAAAGTGTGCTGTGGCAATTACATCACAATGCTGGAGGGGAATGGCAGGTGCAATCCAGCATGAGATGTGATCATGTGTTAGAAGTCGCTGTACATTGCTAAGAACAATTCCTAGAGGTGGCAACAAGCACATTACAATTATCGAGGTCATGCCAGTTATTGGACGCTTGACAACATAGCAGTATTGTTTTTCAATACCATTCAAGGCTGATACCTGGGACAGAGGGCACTCCTTAGCCAGTGAACTCTGATTCATATCTTTCAGCAGGTCCTTCAGAGCGTTACGTACTGTTATGTGGGACCATTGCTCAGGAGGCAAGTCTTCAAGTTTGGGGCAACTATTAGAGACAGATTAGAGAAGGGATTATTACAAGGCTGCATCCTGCTGCAGAACATTCCTTTAAGACAGACAGATTTCATTTTGCGCATCAAGCAGATGCATCTGGAGATTGCTCTCGGTCTCCTGATTGTTCCGATTAGTTAATTACTTTATACAACACATCTGCTGTATTGATGCATGAATTATACATCAGCTGCATGTGGCGACTATTTTTGCATGTTACTTCTACCTTCCTGCTCTGATGCGCTTGGTGAAACAATTTAAGGTGCAATGCCTTCTCACAAGTGATCAGGAGAAACAGGCTTAAGATCAGTCTTTCTTTTTTTTTTATAATTGTGACTGAAGAAAAGCAAAATACTAAAAAGGAAAAAAAAATATATCACATACCAGATTACATTAAGAAGGGTGAAGTCATTCTTTCACAGAATGTACCCAGATGGCTTTGTGCAGGATATGCAAAAATATTTTCTGTTAAGTACATTTTATGTAAAATACCCATTTGTAATGCATGTATTGAATTAATTGGCTAAATATAATTCAGCATATACAGCATACGTTACAAAAAAAAAAACACAAAAAAAAGGAGGAGCACTAAATGTATGTCAGACACGAGTAAAAGTAATGCTTCAGTCGCTTTAAAAAAACTTTTGGTGCCAGGAAAGTATATTAGCACACCCCATTAAAAAAGTAATAAGGGAAGGTAAGACATTTGCAGCTGATAAGGAACAAAGCAGTCTACACATCATGACTCACCTATGTAGTTGTATTTTCAGTGTGACCACATGAAACACATCTTGTAGCATATCTGCTACAGTGGCATCAGGAGCATCTGTAACACAGGAAAGTGGAACTGGATTCCATTTACCAACTTGGATCAGCCCTGCATCATAAAGATAATGTGCATTACTTTCAAAATTAATGCTACGTTAATGATCTAGAAAGAAAAAGTCCCTGAGCTTTAAAATAACATTTAAAATACAAATAAAACAAATTTAAATTTAACCGATTGTATTTCACAGAATAGAAAAAGCCTGGAAAATAGGACAATATCTTTAACAATAATTATTGAGAAATATACATCTTGACCCGCATAAATTAGCAAGCACCGAAATACTAGCATCTCTGTCTAATGAATGCAGAGAAAGTGAGCGTCAACTGTTTCACACTTAAATATTTAAGAAAGAGTCAGTAGCAAATTACGCTGCCTAAATAATAACAAAAATGTGAAAACTGAAAAAGGAAACACATCTAGGTATTCAGTCATAAATGCAAATTGACTCTCAGCATTCCATCTGCTCAGATATGCTCAGCATTTCTCCCTAGATTCTCAGTGGACCATATTATTAAGGTCAATAGTCATGCTAATGATTCAGTGCTAACATCTTAAGTCCCTTAAAACTAGCCATGCTATTTACTATTCGCTGCAAAAAAATAATAGTGTAAAAATAATAATAGTAACCATATTCAAATATATCAGCATTTATTCATGTATTGAGTAACAGTGTAACACCTTCCCCTCCTCATTTGCTGTGACTTGATTATTTACCTTTGGCTTGGGCAGCTGCGCTGTGAGAATATCCAAGGGACAGTAGAGCCATTTCAATCAACTGGTTAAAAAGCATGTCCTTCCTAACCAACACAAACTCTGCATGCTCCTCTTTGCAGTCATACTCAATGAAATTTTCATAATGTTCCACAACGCAAAAAACTGGAAGCATATTTCCTACATGAATCAAAAGAGTAAACAAACAAACATTATTAACAATAGCTACAATTAATAAAAATAATAAAAAAACACAAAATAATCCAAAACAAAGAACAGAATTAAAGTAAATCGAATGGCATGTTAATAAATCTTAGCTATACTACAAATGTACAAGAAGTGTATTTTATTTTTCTGAAGTTGAATTCATTTAATCAATGGAACGCTGGGGTATCACATTTCAAAACTTCAGTCTGGGTGCAAAAAAAAAATTAAAAAAATCTCATTAACAATACAATAAATAAAAAATGTGTACTTTACTAATTACTGGCACAGTGACCCACTAGAATGTAATTCAATATAAAGATAGCAAAGCGATCCCCTTAAAAGTAATAGAAACACATTCTTCAATTTCCTGACAAGGGTTTTGGCGGCAATGCTTACATTCCACTACAGCGATCATTTTAGGAAAATGTTTTGCCAATTTTTTTTTTTTTTTTCATTTTAAGAAACATGTTTACTGTCTTCTGTTGGGGACTATAATATCATAACATATTTCGAAGAACAAACTGTGAACACGCCACCGTATGAATGAAGTTGTACGACAAACTAAAGCTAGTAGTGAGTGTGCTGCAAAATGTACTAAAACTCTTGGTCACAAGTGCATTAATAAAACACTAACAATATCATATAATATTTCATAATTACATTATGTTAAAGGTTTACAATTTTCAAAACGTCAAAGATATAACAAATAATAAAATTACTTTTTGCTTGAAACCAACCCTGGTAAGTATCTCACACAAGCTGCCTATCGTTGATAATCCAAGTAAAGTGATGTCTGGGTGTCAATCCAAATCTATTTCTCAGTAAGACGACATTGGTATTCAACTGGTTAAGATCAGGAACTGTTCTTTCAACATGTAGGAGGACTGTAGCTATTCTCTTCTGAAGGAGTAGCTAAGTAGGGACTCCTCTGTCTTTGAAGTGGGTGAGGGGAGCCCAATTCATTATGTGAACTCTCCTTGTGACCTTACGCAAGTCTCTCATTTGTTCCCTTCATCTGTGCCAGAAAAGATCACAATCAATTCAATGCAAGAGCTCCCTGAGTCTGAAACATGCTACATGAGATGCTGCTTGGGTCTTTTTAGAAAGAAATATTGAGGTTATAGCTTCGCACAATTAAAAGCTTGCTCCTTAGGTGGACTTGTGATCAACTCATTTTATTAATAAGATGCATCATATATAAACGATGCATTACATGAAGCCCTCATTGCTAAAATGCAAGGGAGATGAAGTGAGGATAAAAAAGAAATCAAGCTACACACATATATCTTTAACACTGAGCGAATACATGTTATTAGCACAGAGTGACGTGTTGTCCTTCCTCAAGTGATCAGCATTATAGAGCAGTATTCTCGCATTAACTGCTCCCATCTGACTGAAAGCTTGGCCCAGCAACTTTATAACTGCCCAGCATTAAAAAAGAGGAAAGCTTTGGTCAGTGCTAAAAATATAAGATGATTCCAACCTGAAGGCACTGCTAGAGCGTTTGCTGAACATTTATGAGCCTATGTAAATAACAAGTCTGCATAAGGAGCAGTGAGTCTGTAGAATCCTTGTCTAAAACTGTCCTGGCATTAAACTTTGCTGTGCAAATATCACATACTACCAGAGGCAGCTTAAATCTCCTATTTAGGAATTTATAGAACTTATATGTTTGCAGGCGTCAGAAAGTCCTTTTTATAAAGCCTTGCCCCAGCTCCTCAGTACAATATTAATGCACTCGCTCTGAAAAGCCATAATAAATTTTATTTTTAATGCTTGTTCTGCCCTGGCTTTCTTAAGATGCATACATTCTTGGCAAACAATCAATAAATAGGGTAATCATGAACAGAGGCCAAAGAATTTGCTGAAGTGCTCTTTTTCCATTTTAATAGATAGAGATCTAACAATACCAACTGCTGTGTCTGTTCATTTTAGGATCAATATATGCTTTGTTTTCGCCAAACGGAATGCAAAATGAAGGATTGTATTATAAATGTTACACATTGAAGACAATGAAATTCCAATGCCTTCAACTATGTAGCTGAAATTATCAGTTGTCTACGAATAATGCCCAGTGCATTCCAAACCTGAAGGAAGCAACTATAATAAGCTCATTATTTAGGTTTCCATATCATAACTGTTGCAGTTTTCAAGTGTGGCTAAGTTATTCTTCCTTGCACCCAAAGACTTTACACTGTCCAACTTGGGGTTGGCAGAGCAAGCATTAAAACGAAAGGAAAAAAAAAAGAAAAGTAAAAAATGAAGACATCTCAGGAATATTACCTTTTCGGATAGTGCTTCTCATCATATGAGCGGAATGTCTAAGAGGTATCCCTTGCATTTTTGCTCCTGTGCTTCCTGCTCTTCCTCTTCCTAGAGGACTTCCATTCTGCTCAAGGCGGGCTATTTTGGCTGGCGGACCTTTTGGATCGCTTACATTGTTAGACATTTCTGAATGTTCTGTCCCCTGAGTGTTCTCGTTCGAATGATCCATGCTCAGTCCCGCCTCTAAGGATCACCTGGCTCAATTAAAAAAAAAAAAAAAAGTGTTTATAAATCTATGAGGCACGCTCATCTTTTGTAGCATAGGAAAAAAAATGCAAATAGTAACCAATTTTACTAGTGTACAGAATACATTCATGGACATAAAAATGAAATGCAATGCATTGCTTGGACTATTTAGTTGAAGCACACATCTTAAGAGAGAGAACCAGCCCATTTTTGTTTTTTTTCTGACTACAAATAATGAACACCTGCAAAAGCTTGTACATATTGATTTATGTTTAGAAAGTCTACTCATCATAGCTATTGACACTGCTTTGATTCACGAATCTGCTTACCACACCTTAGGCAACAATTTATTTACGGAATGTTCTGCCACCCTGGAAAAATGTACATTTGTACAAAACCATTTACATGATTCGGGAAGACAGACCTCTGTGGCTTTTTTTTTTTTTTTTACTTTTTTTGGGTAAGGTTTTACATTCATTCCCTCTAACAGCAATATTTGAATTTCCTAAATACTGCAAGGGCATAATTTTTTTTTAAAAATCACAAAGTAAAATGAATAAATAATTAAATAAATAATAAATACATTGACTGAAAGGGACACATGGGGTCTCTGTTTATGTGAAAAGCAACCTTGTATGTACAAGACATATATTTAATAACCTGATAGTACTTTTAGATGAATATTTATGTGCAATAACTCATTCCCAGTGAACATTTTTTAAATCTGACTTACTTTGGACATGTATGCACCTGCTGCTGTTGCTACAACAGTTCTTACAGAGTTCACTAAGAGGACCTTTAAACTTTTACATTTGCTAAGACTCCTGTGCCATGCCACATAACATAGTGGCATCTTCACATGAATAAACATGTCACCTAGTACATTACTGACAATATTTTTATTATTCGGCATCCTTCCCATGTACTATCAACACAGGTATCCAGTGCCTCATCAGAAACTTTGTTGTAGGACGTCTGATCGCTACAGTTTTCATTGCACATCACCTACACAGTCTGGCTTCTTCTAAACTCATGTATTTGGAAGCTTCAAGTGCTGTGTAGGAAATGTAATATTACCAAAAGAACGTATTTTGTCCTTTCTGTAGAAGCCAGGCATAATGAGAAGACAAAGTGTAAGACTTAACCTTCCCCTGTGAATTATAGACCTTCCTTAATAAACGAAGCTTCATTGAAGTCTATTAATTACACTTATTTTTAAAAAGGTCTCAGGTTCAAATACATCAGGCTTGCACTCTTGAACGTTGATGCCCTACCTCTGCACAGCACAAAAATTGAAATCCCAATCTATCTTGGTATAAGAGGGAAGACTGAAGTAGTTATGGAGTGACAAAGTGCGAGTGCTCCAGTCATGATGTAAGTCATGTCTGGGTGTCAGACACTACATTCCCTCCAATTAGAAGCTATTTTGGAGAAATGTGACCGGCACGGTGCTCGTAGTGGGCTCCTTGATTTGTGGACTACCCGCAATGTATTTAGTGTCAAAATCGGAATCAAACATGCATAAACCATCGAATTCTCCCCCTCCCTATTCAAAACACTGTGCCCAAGGCTAAAGTTCACCGAGATCTCAATTACAAATAATGATGAGCGGAGTGTACCCACAATGACAGCACAAGGCGGTGACTATTATCTGTAGTTATCCCTGTCAGGCAGAGCCTCGTTCTCCTTAACCCATTCACTGCAGGCACAGGGTCAGCAAAGAGCTGTCTCCCTGGCTCAGCTGTAGTCATAGCAAGCCGACACATTGTCAATGAGCAGGCAGGCCACCCGTGTGTCATCGAAAGGAGGAAACAGGAACTGGATACAGCGGAATACTTCACACCTCCAAGTCTGACTACAAACAAGTTGCGGAAAGCATTCTTTAGATGAAATGAAGTGCCCCATGCTTTGGAAGGCATA